CCTCAGCTTTGAACATCATCCACGAGTAAGTTGAACTCCTCCCTTTGTGGCCTTGTGGTACCAATTCTTATCTGAAATCAAACAAATACAATTCTCTACATATGGAAATATACCAAGATATTTGAATACGAAATAAATACAAATCACTTGGCAGGACGTGAAGTGAATGCACGCGAGTAAAATCATTGCAAACTTGACAAAATGGTTTCTGTGTCTTAAATATTTACAAAACTCTCACATATATTTTCAGGTAAGTGGGTTTGTATGTTATTTGATTTTCTTTTTAAATGGCCATTCATGAAGGAAGTGTTTATGACACACAGTCTGTTCTGGGCCTCTGATTTGTAGCCTTTGGTTATACAAAGCTATTGAAGTTATAAACTGGTCATGTACATATTTTGAAATTTGATAAGTGAAAATCCAGGGCGGTTTTTATGCTCATTTATTCACATATGTAAGTTTTGAAGTTCACCAAAAAAGGCAAACTTATGAAAATATACTGTGTATTTTTTTATTATTATTTATTATCATTGTTATTCCTGTAATTTAGTGATGTTGATCATTATTTCTGTAAAGTTGGTTGATTCTAACTCAAGCACTCAAGGAACAAATAACACAACATAATGAAACGGTTTTTACAAAGTCAAGGGAAATAACTCTACAAATACGGGTTAAATCCACAAGCGGAACCCAAGGTACACAACTAGTCATATGCTGACCGACCTTCCTGTAAGGCTTAATGACTAGGTCAAATCCTTTTTGATTTACATGCGACAAGTTGAAAATTGCAAAAATTTTCTAAGTCAAGGTCAATAACTCTAAAAGATAATAAATCCACACGAAAATATCCAGTGCACAACTTCACATGCTGATCAACATTTCAACCATATCTGTGATATACATTTTTATTGCAATTGATCTTATTTAAAATTATACTTTTACAACCATATCTGTGAAATAAAACATGTAAATAAAACATGTGTATTTCAATTTAAGGTTCAAATGACTAGAATTGCAAAACAGTGACTATATTTAGAAAATCAGCACAGTCAGTAGAATATATGAACACCAAAACTGTAACATTTGATATCTGATATTTAAAAAATGGAATCAATATGGAATCGGATAACAAAGATCGTTGATACACCGATATCGATTGAATCGATGACACCCCTTGGCCCTATATACATGTATATAATATAAACAAGGCATACAAGTTGTGGCCTCCCATTACCAGCACCGGTTCGTAAAAAGCATGGACACGTGTAAAATACCATCTATTCCATCAAAAGTTATTGTAGAAGTTAATCATCGATCCTGGTGGGAAATTTTAGGGATAATTAGGGCTCATCAAATGGATGGAAGTCATTTGAGTGTCGGCACTTTTTTGGTAGGGAATACACATGTGTCAACTTTAAAGATGGCAGATTCTTTTGAAGAGCAGACTAGTCAATTGTCAGAGGTCATCATGTGTGTAAATTTTGCGTATGTTATTTAAGTTGGAAACATTATATCTCATTTATTTATTGATGCTACTTTGTTGGCGAGTGTTTTAGTGTATTTTCGCACAATTGAATATTGACAGTCTGCAATGAATTTTGGTTAAAGTTTAAAATTTTTAAAACAGGGGGCAATTATCTGCCCTTTAGAAATTTAAGAAGACAAATGCTGGGTGTGTTAATTTTTTTCAATCGTACATACATGTATGTATTTTAGTAAATTACCGTGTGTAATAAATTGATCATTGGTCACCCAAGAGAGCGGAATGTCCCTGCAATATTTCACAGTGATCAACAGTGACGATATTCCGCAGCACAAATAGCACCCGATCGGGTGATAACAGAAAGTCAAAACTGTAGCAGGGACGTTTCCGTGACAATCCAACCGTAAAATAATCGCAGGGATTGACAGACTTTAGTAAATTGTTTAAGCTGTGTACTGTACATTTATTTTATGGAAAGTAGATTTATAATTGATATCGAGATGTGTTTGTTATTTCTTTTATGGTTTGTAAAGTTTCCTTGCTTATAATTCCAAAGAAAAAAGACACACAAATGTCTCGAGATGACGTCTAACGTACATGTCTTCCAAGTTCTACTTGAGACATAGAAATGGTTGAATTGATTTTGGCTGCTCAATGAGGAACAAATAATATCTACTTCTGTACTATATGATGACTATTTCTTCAACGAATCTTAGATGAGCAATCTGGGTCTAATATGGCCCTCTAGTGATAGTAGCAATGCCTTCATTGTAAGTCAAAGTTCATGGTCCCTTAACTTGGGCCAGCTTTCAGGGCATACAAGTGTTTGTGATCAGTCATAGTAAATAATGGTTTTCTTTGGATTCTTACAAATTGTACAGTACAGCTCGCGCGGAATGTACATTTTTTATGCTTCCTCCGCGATCGACGTTTAAGCAAACTCCTTAATCCACCGCGTTTTTCTGAGCGTAATCGCGGAGAAACAACCTGGACCACAATCGCGGAGTTTTAGAGAGTGTAAAGGTATTACCGCGGAGATTCTCCAAGAAAATCACGATTTATAAGTTGATATTATATTTTAAAATTATCCCTTTTCATTAAAGTAATTTTCATTTTTCATTAAAGAAACTACATTTGTAATTATCTTAATTGTTATTTATTTTTGTTTTGAAATTTGTAGGTCCACTTGATTAATCGATCGTAGTATTTCTTGTGAACAATCTTCTTGAACACCGTACCGCTGAATCATGTCTACATCGTATTTTGTTTTTATACTTTATTTGGCATTTTTTGTTGCTGTTTTTAGGACAAGGATACTGTAGGTGTATATAAGTTTTTTTATGTTTTGAAGCGCATTGGAAATGTTGGCATATGTTGGAAATAGGCCTCGGAGCTAGATATACATGTACTGTAGATATATCCGTTATTTCAATCACCCGTAAATGCAGAGATTTTTATAACAGATAGCTCCGGGGTAAATGTGTCAACATGAAAAACTATAACAACCCTATTTATATTTTGTAAAGAAATAAGATCAACAGTTTTGAAAATTTGACGTGTACATGTAATACTACACCTGTATTGTTTTATATTTTACATGCATGTTTTTTAAAATACGTCGGTCTCCATGCTTTGCTCATGACTTCACATATTTAATTTGGTCAACAACACAAATTATAAAGTTTCTTTTTCTTTAAGATTTTAAAGTTTATAAGACATTGGTTACCTGTTTATATACATGTAGTTCTTGACCTATACGTTTCCCAACGCGTACACAATGTCTATTTCAAATGTCCACAAATTTGTACAACAAAACTAGTACGTCCTCACTGATAATTTAATGTGTCAACAGCGAAAATTATAATTTCACCTTTTACAATTCTCTATAATAATTTACGATAAAATATATCTGTGTTTTATACAGTTTCTCTTCTCAATATAAATGTATACACACTGGTGAAAAACTATACCGACTTCATTTTCAATAAATAAGATTAAACGTTCTTTTTTCTCATTTAGTGTATAATGATATTGGTTTCAAAATACTTTTTATTCTATCAATCATTGATAATCATTAACGTTTTTTTTTCAGCGAGATGACCATGCATGGAAGATTTCAAGAGTTTCCAGAGACGATGTGCCTTATCTAAATAACTTCTTACTTGAAGTATAAGTAATACTAATAATATTTGTTCTACAAAGGTTGACAAATAAAAGAAGTGAACAAAGAATATTATGAATGTTATACTGTGTATCATTGTTCTTTGCCTTCCCCCCCCTTTTTTTTTTAAAGCCGGCAAACATACATGTACAATATATTCAACATTTGCATAGATGATATATTTGGTAAGTGAACATTTTTTGAGTATGTTGTTTGACGTCAACGCCAATGACTGAGCGCCGTTTGCACATACTTATCTTTTTGCTCAGATGTGCACATGCTTGTCAAAAGTTGTTTGTTATAATTCTTTTTTTTTTGTAATGAGGATACATTGTGCATTTTGATAAGGACCATCCGTCAAATCCTAAGTTTTATCATTCAGAAAGTCTGTCTTGACATCTTCAAAGCTTACAGTACATATCTTCCGAAGATCGACGCAGCCTTAATCCGTGAAATTTCTCCACCGAACTTCATATAATATGTAGATAATCTCAATCCAAAAGTACAAGATTAAGGAAAAGAAAAGGGAAGAGAATGTGAAGTTGAACTCTTAAGGAGAATACAACTCGCTTCTTTTTCTGAACTATTAAAACTGCTATTAGGTCCTGAAATGAAAACAAATATAGAAATTATTATTATTACAAACACGAGTGTACAATCTATTTTCAAAGATGACTGGTTAGAAATAAAATGATGGGAAGAGACGATGGATCTAAAGATAAACATGTATATAAATGTATTGAATTTGATGATACACAAAAACAATTAGGCCTAACATTAAAACTGTACACAGTTACTACAAGAACAACAACAACAATCACTTTTACAAAAGTTTAGATCTTCTGTTAACATGAATTGTTTGAAATAAATTCGTTGAAAGACAACGCATAATAGGTGTCTCATAAAATTATGAACAAGTCTGCATTCATCAAGTTTAAATAATATACATATGCATATGATATACATGTTTTAATATACGCTCATCTCTATTATTATGTCATAGGTATAAATATAAACACGTGTGCAATGGTCCGGAATACCGGCCAGGTAACAGATAATATCCTTGCTGAAATCGAAAGTAGATCTACAACATACATTTACAAGAAACAATTTCTTTTATTTTGATCATTTTTACGAATTTTATTTGCACCAATTGAAAGAAAAGTCACAGAGAATCGCGGAGGACTGAAATACACCGTTTTTTTTAAGTAAAATACCGCCGCTTTCGGCGAATTTCTGTCTCCGCGACACCTCCGAAAATTGCGGAGTTTTGTGGAGTTTCTCGGCGATTTTCCTCCCAAGTTCCGCGGAGGGAAAAGGAAAAAAGTACATTCCGCGCGAGCTGTACTGTAGCTAAAAATATTTTTTGTTTGTTTTAGAAATCAAGATGGCACATGAGATACATTTAAAGAATAACAAATACCGGCAGTGGGTTAAGGCTGGCCTAGGCTTGGGTTATCTTAAAGAGGGACTTGCGCCATTTTGTGATGACATTGGAAGACAGCAGCACAACGATATTATTAACAAAATACAACAAACAAAGACTCCTCAACCAAACATACCATGTGGCACCTGTCAGATAACAACTCTCCAGCCAGATCATGTCCGAGTCTCAAAAGGGATATGTCCCCTCAATCAAGATAAATGTAACTGTTGTTTTCCTAATAATAAGAGACCCTGTCCAAACAACGTATGTGGTGCCATCTATGACAGCATTATACAGTATCATGCATCAATGCCACCGGCACCTTTTTGGAAAAACAGTGATGTCCAACAGTGGTCGACAGACCCATGGAACGTTTGCAAATGTTTTATAAATGCTCCGGGGTACAAGGACAAGACATCAGCAGTTGACACTGATTGCACTGGGTTGCTTCATGTTATCATAAATAACAAGTACTTTCATAGTCATATTGGATGCAATGTTACAGGACCAAACAATCTTTTTTCAAAGGTAACTAGATTTGTTTACTATAATTATTATGTTTATTTTAAATTTTGTAGAATATTAGGCTTTACTGTAAGATTAAAATGTTGTCTGTTAATTGCGTATACATAAAAGTAAAAGAGATAATTGTTACCTTAGTGTAGTTATTATGCCCCCACTTCATAGAAGAGGGGGTATATTGCTTTGCATTTGTCGGTCCGTCAGTTTGTAGACCAAATGGTTTCCGAGTGATAACTAAAGAACCCTTAGGCCTAGGAACTTCACACTTGGTATGGTGATTGGTCATGACCAGTAGATGACCTCTGTTGATTTTGAGGTCAAGGGGTCAAAGGTTAAGGTCACATTGACCTTGTAGGTAAAAACGGTTTCCGATCAATAACTAAAGCACGCTTAAGCCTAGGAACTTCAAACTTGGTTTTGTGATTGGTCATGACCAGCAGATGACCCCAATTGATTTTGGGGTCAAGGGGGCAAAGGTCAAAGTCAATTTGACCTTGTAGGTTAAAAAGGTTTCTGATCAAAAACTAAAGAACGCTTAAGCCTAGGAACTTCAAACTTGGTATGGTGATTGGTCATGACCAGCAGATGACCCCTATTGATTTTGGGGTCAAGGGGTCAAAGGTATAGGTCACATTGACCTTGTAGGTAAAAACGGTTTCCGATCAATAACTAAAGAAGCATAGGCCTAGGAACTTCAAAATTGGTATGGTGATTGGTCATGACCAGCAGATGACCCCTATTGATTTTGGGGTCAAGGGGTAAAAGGTCACATTGACCTTGTAGGTAAAAACGGTTTCCGATCAATAACTAAAGAACGCTTAGGCCTAGGAACTTGAACTTGGTATGGTGATTGGTCATGTTCAGCAAATGACCCCTTTTGATTTTGGGGTCAAAGGTCAAGGTCACATTGACCTTGTAGATGAAAACGGTTTCCAATTAATAACTTAAGAACACTTAGGCCTAGAAACTTCAAACTTGGTATGATGATTGGTCATGACCAGCAGATGACCCCTATTGATTTTGGGGTCAAAGGTCAAGATCACATTGACTTTGTAGGTAAAAATGGTTTCCGATCAATAACTAAAGAACGCTTAGGCCTAGGAACTTCAAACTTGGTATGGTGATTGGTCATGACCAGTAGGTGACCTCTATTGATTTTGGGATCAAGGGGTCAATGTCATTTTGACCTTGTACTTTATGACGGTTTCTGACCAATAACTCAACAACTCAAGTTGATATTTTTATATTAAACTAAAAATGCTTTTGGTATACACATTTGAAGGTCTTATGTAACAACTTGGCTGTCATTAATGAGGCCTGCATGATTCACAAAATTTATGCATATATTATTTGTTAAGATTTGTAATAACTTAAATTGCTGCACACAACCTATGGGGTCACAATGATTATTATTACCTTGTTACCTTGTGACTAGTCATAAACAGTAGATACTAGATAACCCTTATTAATTGTTTGTTCACTCTGGGTCAGAAGTCATGCATAATAACCTGATCACATGACTAATTGGCTGCCGATAGGGGGCATACATGTTTTACAAACTTCTTTGTTGGTTATAAACTCTATTATATAACTTTATAGGAGTTTACCCATTACTGCACTAAGGTGACTATGAGGTTAATGCAGTTATTTTGTCAGAGAAATAGTTTGCCACATTATGAATAATGATTCAAAAATTGTTATGCATAAATTGTATTCACAAATATTTTTTGTTTGCAATACAATTTTTTGGCTAGCTGTAATTTTTATGGTGGGAAACAAAAAATATTTTGTATTTTAAGCTTTACTGTAAAATGAACAGAAGTAATTATTTGTGCTTTATAAGCAAATGCGACAAGTACCGTAATAATTCTATTTAGCGCCCAGGCTTTTATTAGAATCATAGACTTTTCGAAAGTTGGGGATGGGCGTTAATTGGAGACGCATCTTCATAAGAGTGTTAGACAAACTAATTTTCTAAGCAAGGCTTTATAAATCCACTCGCCCCTCATAACTATAAGAAGAAATCGAATCCGAAGATAGAGCGGATGTTGATTTATAATTGCAGACAACGCTAAAGTCGATTTCGGTATCGTAACGTACCGGCTTAAGTCTGTTCTTTTTCCGCACTTTAATACCGTGCATGTAGAGTCCGGTATCCGAGCACGGGAATAAAAAATGAGCCTCACGCATTTTTACTGCAAAAATATTATGATTTTTCCCAACGAAATATTTATGTAAGGTTACCAATTAACTCTGTAATCTGGGATGTTCTATACAATTCAAAAAGTCAATGGAATATTTCGAGTCCGATCATTATGCATTTTTTACCCGCCAATATAATTGTTAAATAAAAAAGTAAGAATAGTTCTGACGGATTTTACTGACACAAGCATATATGTTCTTAAAGGGATTGATGCGGGATTTTGATATAAAAAGATAATCGTCTATTGTTCAAAAATAATTTTAATCAGAACTAATCTCCCATGTTGGGCCCCAATACATTGAACCACGCACGTTGACCTTGCTGACGTAATGAAATAGGCGCGTGAGTTTTGGCATCTCGGAATGGTAATTTCTTATACATGTATATATATCTTATACACAAAACACATTGAATTATGGCAACACCTATGCTTGTGTCTATAAAATCTGTTATTAAGGGATATCACGTTTACAAATATACATGCCCAGTCGGAACTATACTTCAGTGTAATTTGGAACCAGAAAATGAGCATAGTGATAGCGCAATTATCGTAAAAAATAATGGATCTCTTGTTGGACATATACCGGAGGGATTATGTCAGCCTCTTACAAAATTATTCAAAGATGGACTTATTGTAGAAATCAGTGCCCAAATACTTGGAGAACCGCGTTCGTCATAAAAAGGAACTTTTGTAAAAGGTGGTGGCATTTAAATACCGTGTACATATAAACTTTACGGAAAAAAAGACAAGAAAAGGGAAGTTCGTTGCTACGTGAAAACGGAAATAAGGAAACTTGAATTGTAAAGGTAAGCTCAATTGTACTCAAATCGGGGGATGGGCGTTTAAAAGGGGCAGTTAATTTTTCAACTTTGGGCTGAAAAGTGGCCGCTTTTTGGGGTGGGCGTCTATTAGAGGATGGGCGCTAAATAGAATTATTACGGTAAATACTGTTACTTCAGTAAAGTAATTATAAGATTTATCAACACACATTTCCACTCCCTTTGCTTTTATATAATCTGCAGTTTAAACACAATAATAATAATGATTATTATGGTAAGTACTTTAAATTAAGTTAACTCCTTTATTACAGTTTTAATTCTCAAATTAAGAATTGTGTTTAGTCTCATTGCTGAACACTGTATTTATGTGAATGTTGTATTATTTGTTTTCTTTATATTAGGTACGGCAGTACCGAAACGAAATTTTTCACTCGAGCAATATGGAGTTAGAGGAGAGCAAAGCTAATTGTTATATTGATGACATGATAGCTGTTCTACAAGATGGTAAAGAACTTATACATCAACAAGATGCACAACAAGCTGTCGGGAAACTCCAAGATGTAAGTGTACATAATAAATTATAAGTTTGAAATCTTTAAAGAGTTAAATTATCATAACTTGAATTAAGCACATTTTACTAAATTTACAAAAAAGTGCTCTAAAGCCCCAGTCACATTAGAGCTTACGACCAGTGAAGACTAGTTCACGATCACCAGTGACCTCTGGTCGCGGACAATCTATAAAACGTCTAACGACGGTCATCGGTGATCTTTGACAGTCGCAGGTTACCTTATTTAGGTCCCACGACCAATTTCAGTCGTAGAGAGGTTTTTGAGCTTGCACAAAAACCTCCTTGCGATCAAACAGGTCGCTAGTGATCTTATAAGGTCTTAAGGCTGTCGCACGATGGTCGTTCGGAAGTGCGACAATCTTACGACAGTCTTTACAAATTGCCACTGGTCACTGATAATCTTAAGAAGTCTTTAGTAATCGTGTGATGGTCGTACGACAAGTTGTAGGTGATCGCATTTTATGTCACGGGTAGTCGTAAGTAATCCCAGGCAATCTTGAGACCATCGTACGTTTACTTATGACCTGTCGTGCGATTGTCAATGATGACTTGTCTTACGATACTCACAAAAGTAAATTTATCTGTGCAAAAATGGTTTTGGTCGCTGACAATCGCTGATGATCGTCAGTTTTACAAGTCGCCGGTGGTCGCAAGTAATCGTAAGCTCTAGTGTGACTGGGGTTTGAGTGGTTACTTCATTTTAGTCAAATTTAAGTAACAACTGCCTTAAGTTAACTTATATTGATGAAATCAAATGAAATACCTACAAATACAAAAATACGGATCTAAGCTTGTTAGTAACAGGTAAGAAAAACAAATGTGAAGAAAATAGAGAATTCTTGCAATCAAATGACTATACCACACATCCTGCCTTAAGAGAAGATTTTTGAAGCCCTCAGAAAAAGTATGAGAATTAAAATAAAAAACATTTGTGGTAATTTTGAAATAAAAATGTTGCTATATGATATAGCTACATTTTATCTCTGAAAGAAAATCGAACTTTTTTTTTATCCATCAGCTAAAGCAAAAAGACTTTGTTATCACTACTGAATGCTCTGAAGAAATTTTGAAACAAATCAAAGATGAAATGACAAAAATGCGGGAATTTACCGAAAATGCTGCAACTAAAGATGAATATGAGGAGCTTAAAAATAAAGTTATTGAACTTGAAAGACAGTTGGCAAAAGAAAAAGAGGGACAACTTGAGGCTGGGAAAGAACAGAAAAGAAAGTTTACTGAACTTGAGGCAGTTATAACAGAGCAAAAACAGGTGAAAAATGTTTTCCTTTTGTTTGTTTCAGGTTGATATACCAGTACATGTATTCCAATACAACTGCGTCCGTCCGTCTGTGCGTCCCCACTTCATTCGTGTCCGGACTGTAACTTTGTCATACATTGAGGGATTTTAAAATAACTTGGCAAAATGTCTACCACATCAAGACGATGTGTTGCGTCTAAGAACCACGTCCCTACCTCAAAGGTCAAGGTCACACTACCATTTTGAAGTACACTTTATCACAATTAGAGTTTATAGGTACACACATTCATGTCCGGGCTGTAACTGTACATTGGAGGATATGTGGCAACAAAGACCCATGCCCCTACCTTCAAGGTCAAGGTCACACTTATAGATTGAAGGTACTTGTTTTTTGAGAAGAGTTTGAGGATACACATTTATGTCCGGACTGTAACTTTGTCTTGCATAAAAGGATTTTAAAATACAGTAGAACTTCTATGAGTCGAACTTCCATTAGTCGATTTTCTCGATGTGTCGAAGAAAAATGAAAGTCCGGACTTCCCCCCTATATATTCATTATAAAAACCTATTTATGAGTCGAAATTTTATGTGTCGAATTTTTCGATGTGTCGAGGTTTTTTCGTGGTCCGTATAAAGTAAATCTAGTGCAATTTACAGCAAATAAGTCGAAGTCCTTGGATTGTTTTGACACCTTTGATCTCGAGACATTTTTCACACCTTATCTGGCTGCGAAGACAATTTCGAATCAACTTGTGTGATAGGTGTTAATAACACAGCCGTGTGTTCAAACAGCCTTTGTTTGCGATAAAATGTGTGATAAAATGCTTTAATCGTAACTATTTAATTGCCGTAGTGGTATTTGAAAGTAAACAGTAAGAACTACTTTCATTTGAAAACATCCTTGACCCGGTGTCGCGTGAGAATAACACGCGTAATATTTACTATAAGCTGGTTTAGTTATCGCCCTTTCGTATTCATACGCCTTTTGTAATTCTTTTGAATATGTCAACGGGTAGTCCAAATAATTAGCCGTGAAAAACGTTATTTAACATGCTATATTTATCATTGTAAAATGTAAATATCAGATTAATGTTGGAAAAACATGAAATAGGTTTCGTTATAGATCTTATAATTAGGACTAGTCACAGGTTGAAATTTTGTCATGGAATTGAGAGCAATTCATCAGTCGAAGTCCCGATGTGTCGAAGTTTTTACGCAAGTCCGTTCAACTTCGACTTACCGAAGTTTTACTGTAACTTGGCACAAATGTCTACCACATCAAGACAATGTGTCGCGGCTAAGGCTCATGTCCGTCTGTCTGTGTGTCCCCACTTACACAACAATCATGTCCAGACTGTAACTTTATCATGCATTGAGGAATTTTGAAATAATTTGGCACAGATATTTATCTCAAAACAACATTTTGTTGTGTCCAGGAACTTGGTCCCTTCTTCAAAAGTCAAGGGCACACTATTTTGAAGCATCATGCTATCACTATTAGAGATTACAGGTACAATAATGCAAAGAACAATATTCAGCAATTAGTTACTTTCATTCTCTTTTCTTTTCATAATACCTACATGCTTAAGAAACCTTTTTGAGGCATTCGTCACTTTGGTGACAGCTCTTGTTTCTGTCATAATTATTTTTTCAATTTTAATGAAAAAAAATAGGTAATTGTTTTAAGAAAAATCTCACAAAGAGTGGAAAAAAGTCAATCTACTCTTTCTTCTTTATTGAAATTTTGTACACTGACTCAAACAGAAGTAAACTATATAAATGAAGCAAAAAGTAGGTATTGTGCCCTTTATATAGGCGAACAAGTCTAATTTTGTAGCAGATAACTCAATAACAAGGATGGTGGCCCACATTTTATAACCCCCACAAAAGAAGGGGGTATATAGCAGTCAGCTTGTGGGTTGGTCCGTCTGTCTGTCCTCATCATGGATGCTGGACGATAACTAGAGTTTGAAATAAGGTATTGTACTTGGTGTACAGCAAGCTTATATGCAGACTCAGGCTGGTATTGCATTTGGATCCCTGGGGTCAAGGTCATCGTTACTAAAAATAGAAAAATGGTTTCCGGACATAAACTTGAGTTGTGAATGGAATATTTTAATCAACTTTGGTGTATAGCATCTTATATGAAGATCCCAGTTGGTATTGCATTTAAACCCCCTAGGGTCAAGGTCAAGGTCATGGTTACTAAATATAGAAAAATGGTTTCCGGACAATAACTAGAGTTAGGAATGAGATATTGTAATCAAACTTGATGTATAGCAAGCTTATTTGAAGACACCGGTTGTGATTTCAATTAATTGAAATAATTCTTTGTACACAGTTGATACTTCCTTTACTATTGGTTGAGTTCAAATATTTTTTTCAGACCACTTAATTTTCAAAAAGTCAAAGTTGCTGATAGGGGTTTTACTCATCTTCAGTGATGGTTCCAGTTTAGCTTTATCATAGCCTAACAACATGCCAAGTTTTAGGAAATTCTATTAAACAATAACATACAAAAAGTATGTATCACAAAGTCTTCATATTTCACATAGTGATTGGTCATCACTAGTAGATGACCCCTATTGATTTTGGGGTTACTAGGTCAAAGGTCAAGGTCACAGGGGCCTTAAATGTCAAAATGGTTTCCGCTGATTATCTTGAAAAGTATGTATCAGAAAGTCTTCATATTTCACACAGTGATTGGTCATCACTAGTACATGACCCCTATTGATTTTGGGGTCACTAGGTCAAAGGTCAAGGTCACTGGCTTTAAATGTCAAAATGGTTTCCGCTGATTATCTTGAAAAGTATGTATCAGAAAGTCTTCATATTTCACATAGTGATTGGTCATCACTAGTAGATGACCCCTATTGATTTTGGGGTCACTAGGTCAAAGGTCAAGGTCACAGGGACCTTAAAATGTCAAAATGGTTTCCCCTGATTATCTTGAAAAGTATATTTATCACAAAGTCTTCATATTTCACATAGTGATTGGTCATAACTAGTAGATGACACATATTTATTTTGGGGTCACTAGGTCGAAGGTCAAGGTCACAGGGGCCTTAAATGTCAAAATGGTTTCCGCTGATTATCTTGAAAAGTATTCATCACAAAGTCTTCATATTTCACCTAGTTATTGGTCATAAGTAGTAGATGACCTCTAACGATTTAGGGGTCATTTGGTCAAAGGTCAATGTCACATGGGCCTTAAATGTCAAAATGGTTTCTGTTGATTTTTCCATAATTGAACACTTCCATGTACCCATTTTTGGCAAGTTTCTGTAATAAAATTACCAATTATGTGAGTCAATTGCTAGAAAGGGGGGTATATGTGTCGTTCGACATTCTTGTTATAACACTGTGATCATCTCATTAGATGTTCAAGTAAAAAAATAACTTTCTGATACTTATTGACAAAACAGCTTTGATCCATTACCTACATGTTTTACATTTTCTGAAATTTTCAAGCTACTGTACTACGTTACTTTTCCTTGTCCTCGGCACGTAAAATCTAATTTGTGTAAATCTTTTCTGTCGTGATTTTCTATTCAAAGAAACTAACTACAGTCTGTACATGTAACTGTAACTATTAATTTAATTGCTGATTATAAAAGTTCAAGGTCAATTCAACGCAGTCAAAATATCAACAGTGAAGTGTATACACCATCTCAGTAAGGACAGGGCATTGTTCTATCGATTTTATTCGATCATACATGTCACATCTTAAATTAACTTCATTTGCATACGCTAAAAACTGTTTGGGAAATACAGTTTTTCACACATTTATATATTTTGTTATGATTGTTGACACTTGTGAAATCACGAGGCGGCTTTCACTAAAAAGACAAACATTTGACTGGTAGGAGCACTTTTAGAATATGCCTGCAGTAAAATCTGTGTTTTACCATTTAAAAGTGGTTGTTTGATGAAAAGATTAATATCAAGTATCTGACTAATTAGCCGTCGCCAATAGCGTTGAGCAAAAGTCGCTTTGAAATACATTAAAGATATATAGGAAATGATTTTGGGGGGTGTTTACAGTGGTCGGTTCACGACTCGGTTGAGACAAAATTTGCTTAATACCCGGGTCACATGGACAAGTTCAACCTATTACTTCTTGAGCATTTTGTGAAAAATGGCTGTTTTCATTGAAAAGTCTCCCGTTACAAGTTCAAATTGCTATAATACTATAAAAACTGCTTCAACACTAATCAAACTTGGCACAAATGTTGACTGGACCATTGCCCTTGCAACAACATGCTCAGGCTTAAATTTTCTGTTACCATGGCAACGAGGGGACATCTCAAAATTGCCAAAAATCACTATTTTGCGTTGATTTTTTTCCATCAAAATTGATTTCAAAGTGCTGCAACTTCTCAATGGATTGAGAAAGAGTCAAATGCTTTTCAGCGTTGGTTACACGTTACCTTATGATCAATCTGGCGTCATTTATAGCCTCTCACATGTCCAAAATTTTCTTGGCGATGAGGGGGACTCCGCCCCCCTTCAAACCCCCCCAAACAGAAGGGGGCACATCCCCCTTCTGGCAACCAGCTGATGTATCTTTTGGTTGGGGGGCCGCGCCGAAAAAGAGGTCACTTTTTTTAGTAACATTTCTCAAACAAAAACAAGTGTTGGGGGCTAAATAAGGCATTTTTTCACCATTTGAGACAACAAAAGGGTGGGGGGTAAAAAAGGGGTTAAAAGGCGTGTATATAACGTAATGGGTTAAAGACTGTATTTTGGCTGATCAAGCTCAAATGCAAGTTTTCATAACTTTAATTTTTCAAATGTAGCAACTAAAGACATGACTGCAAATAAAAAATCTAAAATAAAAAAGGGGTGTATCAATGGGGTAAAGGTAGCATAAATAAGTATGGACTATAGACTGTTTTTTAGCACACCTATCACAATGTGACATCATTGTGAGCTGTTTTGATGGCCTTTTGTCCGGCATCCGTCTGTAAACTTTTACATTTCATCATAAACTGCTACGCCACATTTTTTTATTGTCCCTCAATTCCAATACCGTGTTGAACTCATTTGTTAAATTTTGTATGATTGCACCAAAAATGTTGAAATGAACAATTATTTGCTTTTGCAATGAAATTGATTTTCATTGAAGGAAATTTGATTCAGATGTTTTTGAGATATATTGGGACACTGTAAAATGGACTTACTTAAATTACCAATATTACTGTAAACAATAGACATTTTAGAAAATTACTGAATAAAACACATTTATTTGTATTATATTTTATGTTGCAGGAGATAAAAAGACTCAAGATAGAAGACTCTCCTCAACAAAAACAGTTAGAGTATGAAAAGGCTAAATCAGGTATGTTATATAGAATATGAAAAGGCCAGATCAGGTATGTTATATTGAATATGAAAAGGCTAAATCATGCATGTTATATATAATATGAAAAGGCTCAATAAGGGATGATATATAGAATATAAAAAGGGTAATACTGGTATTACAATGTATATAGAAAATGAAAAGGCTAATTCTGGTATGTTATAAAGAATAGGAAAAGGCGAAATCTGGTATGTTTATTAAATATGAAAAAAGATTGAATCAGGTAGGTAGTATTTAAAATGAAAATACTAAATCTGGTAAGGTATAAAGAACATTAAAAGGCACAATCAGGTATGTTATATAGAATATTAAAGGGCGAAATCAGATATGTTATATAGAATATGAAAAGGCTAAATGAGGCATGTTATATAGAATATGAAACGTTAAATTAGGTATGTTATTTATAGAATGGAAGGGCTAAATCAGGTTTGTTATATAAAATTTGAAAAAGCAAAATCTGGTATGTTCTATAGAATATGAAAGGTTAAATTAGGTATGTCATATATAGAATGAAGGGGCTAATAAAATTTTAATCAGAAAAGGCTAGATATCAGGTATGTAAAGGCTAAATCAGGTATGCTTCATATAATATTATAAGGCTAAAACAGGTGAATTTTGCCCTAATTGTGATAATTTTATCATATATTTTTGTATTTAATTTAAACTTTTACAAAACAACACTAACTACAAAATCATCATTTCAATGTCAGGGAACTCTCATGTGTGTGTGGGAATCTTGTTATGTTAAGATAATATGTGAGTATTGCTGATTTTAATGGCTGCTCAACAAATTTCAGGTTGTCGTACTCATTTGATAGAACATTATCGCAGTGACGTACTTAAAGTATCAGCAATACCTTTACAACCAGATGAGGAAAATTATAATTTCAGTGAACGTTTATATTAGACCCACTATAACAAGCAAGATAGAAAAGAATAGAGGGGAGTCTGAAGAAAAAGAAATAAAGACCATGTCAGAGATTTTCAAAAAGAATGGGGAACCACAGAAGTTTATTTATGTTGTTGGAGATGCAGGGTCTGGTAAGAGTAGTTTCTGTAAATATTTGATCAACTGTTGGTGTATGGCACACAGTGATGGACACAATGAAGATGATGAGTTTGAAGGAGTCAAGGAAATGAAGAAATTTGATTCCATGTTTTATATTTCTCTTAGACATAACATAAAGACCCGAAGTATCCAAGAAATGCTTGAAATGCGATATGATAAGATAAAAAATTTAAGTAAACTTCTGGAAAATGATTCTGAAAAGATAATTATTTTGCTTGATGGTTTAGATGAATGGTCTTTTGACAGTGAGACTAGAAATGAGTTCCAGGCAGGCCTTCCTGAACGTGACTTTACAAAAAAATACACAATTGTTACTACATCACGGCCATGGAAAATTCACAGTTTGAGAGTAAGTAATAGAGAGATTCATCAGTTATTGAAATTAAAAGGGTTTGATGAAACACATGAAAAAGAAATGATTAAGAAAACAATAACAGCATTGAACGAATCATTAGATCCTAATGTGTGTGAACAAAAGCTTAGGATACCGTCTGTGGTTGGCCTGAAACAGGTACCAATTATGCTGCAACAATTGGTTTGTTTATGGTGTGATGGTAAACTTGATAAAACCTCAAGGTGTGCTATTTATACTGGTATGTTAGAACTTTATTTCACCTGGAATATCAATAAAACTTTAGGAAATAATACAGAATGTATGGAAAGTTCTCAGAATATTGAACTCCCTAAGTATTTAACAGATGTAGAGATATGTAGATTAAATAGTCATCTTATATATGGTGTGTCACGCTTGGCTTATGAGACATTGTTCAATTATTCAAAGGATAAGTCCTTAACATTTGACAAATCTGTGTTTGATGATTTGAAAATATCACAAGATGTGCGACAAACATGTCTGAAACTGGGGATTTTGACAGAAGATAAATGTCCTTCTTTTTCTGTATCCAAACCTAAAAGCTCATTGTTCTCTTTCATTCACAAATCAATGCAAGAATTTCTGGCTGCAGTGAATATTGGCATCAATTTCAATGCAAAAATTGGTTCGTCAGATAGTACAGGAAATAATGAATTAGCCATGAAGTTTATTAATGAGGTTTTTCAGAAATGTTCAACAGTAAATGACATATTAGAGCAGTCAAATGTAATTATTATGCTATGTGGTCTAGAATCTAGATTAGCAACACATGTTTCAAAATACATATATGATACTGTGTCAAAAGACTCTTGTGTTCAGGAATACAGGAGAACAATAAATAGTAACATTTATAGGGATCATGATTGTATTACTGATATTCAAAAGCTTATGTTTGAGTCAATGGAAGAATTCAATGCAGCATGTAGTAAAGGAAATAATCCTGTATTTTATTTAGGAGATTTGGTCATTGATGATAGTGATGATTGTGATATTGTTTGTTCAAGTATTGACCAGCATCAAATTGTTCCTGACTCTGTTTTGTCTATTTATGTAGTTGCCATCAACACAGAAAATGTTAAATTTACAAAATATTTACCAATGTTTCATCATCTTGAAAAAATTAAAATAGAATATCAATTTGAACCACAAAGGTTATCAAGTACACAACGTGATAGTACACAGAGTAATGAACAGAGGATTGATGAGATGAACAATTGTGTTTCTGAGACAATTAAATTAAATACTTTAACATTAAAATCTCTGTCTCTTGATGTCTCTTACACTGGCAAGTATTACCCAGTGTATAAAACAGTTGTTAGTAACCTACCTAGTATGATCAATCTTGTAGCAATAAGTATGAGTGATATAACAATGAGTCATGATGATACTACTACATTTTGTAATTTTCTTGAGAGAACCAGTCATCTTGAACAAATACAGCTTATTAATGTTAAATGTGAGTGTGAGAAGCAGCATGATGTAAATTTATCAAAACATCAACAACTTCAGTATCTTGATTTGTATAATACTGTTAGTGTGATAGATGCTGATACTACAAATCTTGAAATATTTAATTTTGGAACTTTGAAAAATAGAAATTATGAGAAAATATTTGATATTATTAGAAAATCTTACAAATTAAAAGAACTTGAATTGTATGCAGATGATAACAATAAATCTCAATTATATCATACCAACATAACAAAGAGACTTGTCACAGTATTACCACTGTTACACAATCTCAGTAAGCTTGAGTTAAAGTATTGTAGGTTAACGGACAATATAATACAGTTACCTTTAGAGATGAAGAGTTTAAAGTACATTAAGCTTTATAAAGTCATAATGAGTTTGACAACATGGCAGAAGTTTGTTGATAGTCTTCCTGTTATTCCTCATACTGTAGATGTGGGTGTAAGCTGTTATATAACAGGAGATGGTGAGAAGTTTAATGATGATTGGTTAACATGGACTTCACTATGTGGAGAGAAGGGAAATGATGCTAAACAGTATGTAAAAGATAGAGATCAGTTATTTCATGGTATACAGGATTATTATTGGTTTGACTTTTCAACAAAAAAGTGATAAAGTATCCATGTAGTTACATAGTGTTTGAACTATTTTTTTTCAATATTAACAATAAAAATAATGGTTTGAATCTTTAACACAGTGAAATAGGATACGTGACGTTAACATAGTGATTAAACTAAATTATTGCATGTTAAAAGAGATAATTTATTTGTTCATTTTTGACAAAAAAGAAATGATCTGAAAATTTAACATAGTGAGATAGAATACATGCAGTTAACATAGTGCTTCATTTAAATTATTTCATGATAAAAGACATAATTATTAAAATAAACATTATCAGCAAAATAAAAATATAATAATAAAGTTACATATTGATAAGTTAAATAATGAATGTAATACAATATGATAAATAACAATCATCAAAAACAGTTCATTAAATATCAATTTCTGATCATTGTAGTAATATTGAAATTGATGAAAGTAATATTCAAATGTGTTTTTCAATAAAAAAAAATGAAATTAATGCAGTGAAATATAAAGACAAAATATATTAATCTGGATAAAGGTAAAGGTTATTTTTTAAAGAGCACAGAGGTAGTTTGTGAAAGAAATATGATTCGAAAAAGTAATGTTCTAATAAGAATGCATAAATAGATTTGTAAATAAACACGTAAATGTAATGAAAAAGAAAATTTAATGGAAATATAAAACAGATGCTTAATGTAATTTACATGGTCAGAAAAGTTAGAAGAAGTAAAAGATAACATGCAAATACCAGTCATATAAATATGTATGGCAATGGAATGGTATAAATAAATACCAGTTATATGATATAAAGGACAAGGGAATCAGGTATATATAAATACCAGTTATATCATAATGTACAAGGGCGGAAGAAGTAAAAGATTAATGTAACTGAATGAAAAGATATCTGTTATATGATATATTGGACAATGTAATGATATAAACAAATACTAGTTGCACGATTTATAGGACAAGTGAATGAAAACCAGTTTTATTATATCAAATACCAGGGAATGGTATAATGAATTATAAATGAATGGTGTTTACATATATAAATACCAGTTATATGATAAATAGGACAATGAAATGGTTTATATGAATACCAAATATTTGAGCAGTGTCATGACAAAACCAACACAGTGCGTTTGCGACCAGAATGGATCCAGACAAGCCTGCGCATCCGCGCAGTCTGATCAGGATCAATGCTGTTCGCTATCACTTTCTTTATTTGTAATAGGGTTGTAAAGCGAACAGCATGGATCCTGATCAGACTGCGCGGATGCGGTCGCAAACCCATTATGTTGGTTTTGTCGTGACACGGCTCATATGTTATTTAGGACAAAGGAATGGTAAAAGTTATATGGTATGTAGGATAAGGGAATGGTATTTGTAAATATTGGTTATATGATTATATGTCAAGAGAATGGTATTATTAAAAACAAGTTATATGGTATATAGGACAAGGGAATGGCATTTCTAAATACCAGTTATATGATATATAGAACAATGGAATGTTAATATACAAATACCAGTTATATGTTATAAAGGACAATGAATTGTATAATTAATACCAGTTATATGAGATATAGTACAGGGTCACAGTATATGTTATTACCAGTGATATATAGGATTACATGTATATGTTATAGAGGAATAGTAAATTTTATATGTGAATACCTGTTAGATGATATATAGGAAAAGTGAATGTTATACATAATTGTTTTATTCATTGAGATGAGAATCATTTACATGTTATATTTTAGAGACTCCTTCTTTGATTGTTTTATATTGTAAAAATTGAAAAAAGTGAGAAAAAATTATGATTATGCAAAACGATAATGTGTACAAGTTAATACTGTTAGTCAGTATTACTCAAAGTGTTAAAAGGGACTCCACTGAGGATTTTTGATGTACTCAGAAAATTATATTTACTTGATTTTATGAGAGTAATATAATGAGAGTAATAGGAAGTCACTGTCTGAGCACCATGGACTAATAACATAGATATTTGACAACAGAATTATTTCCTTTTTTGAAGTTAAAAAAATCTGCATTATCCATCACTGTGGAAAGTCGAGCACACTGTCCTGTTTGAACAGTGTTTAAATGTTTTAATAGCTAAAGTCCGTCCTGAAAAATTATCACTTCATTAATATCGATTTTCAATTTATTAGAAAACCGACATATTTTCTTTAGTAATCATTTTTTCCCCTTTATTGGAATATCAGTAATAATTAATCCAGTTTTTTGGCTTTTCTATTTTTATTCTTTATTGTTTGGGCTTTTTTGGACCTCAAGTGGAGCTCCTTTAAGTGAACTCTTTGTTGTTTAATGTTAGAATGATAAAATTTTACAACACTAGGCAAAGTATAGATATACCTTGCTGTAAATTTATATGTACTTGTTATATAAGCTCTAACTACATAGACAGTATAAGACAAATTGTAAGTTAAAAACAATTGATACATCCATAGATGAAAATATGGATTTCAATGATGCCTTCATACATATTCTCAATAGAAATGTACAATTGAGGTAAAAATATACATGGCTGTCGGATGTTAGTGCTAATTAACTCTTCAACTGGCTTTATTGCCTCTCGTTTACACCTTGGGGATATATACCAGCTCTCAGCTGCCCCTGGGTATATACAAGTTGTCGGGGTCACTTCGAGATATATACCAGTTTCTAGCTCCCCTTAGGTAATATACACCAGTTCTAAGCTGCCCCTCGGATATATATATATACCAGTTATCTGCCCCTTGGTTGATATGTACCAGTAATTGGCTTCCCTCTTAGGGATATATACCTGTTGTCGGCTACACCTCAGAGATATATACCAGTTCTCAGCTCGCCCTTAGAATATATACCAGTCTGTTCTCAGCTACATCACTGGGATATATACCTGCTTTTGGCTGTCCCTTAGGGATATATACCTGTTGTCGGCTACACCTCAGAGATATATACCAGTTCACAACTCCCCCTTAGAATATATACCTGTTCTCAGCTACATCACTGGGAAATATACCTGCTTTTGGCTGCCCCTTGGGGATATATGTTCGTTCTTGAATACACTAAATGGGGAATGTATTCCAGTTCTCGGCATAAGTCAGTTCTCAGTTGCCCAACAGGGATATATACAAGTCTCAGCTATACCTGAGGGATATATACCAGCTCTCGGATGCCAATATGCTCTTTCACACAGACAGCCATGTTTTATAAGTTTATATACTATCAGATATTTATGTTCATAGATAATTTATGTAATGGTTGAATTAGAATTTTTTAATAAAACAATTTGTCATATTTTAGTACCAAGACATTATTACATTATAGGCATACATAAGTTATATTTCTGCTGATGTTAACATAATTAGTATATACGTGTATTGTAAAACATATGTTACATGAAATTACTCAAAAATTATGTTGTAATCCTGTGTCTAAAATGCATCATGGGTAACCAATGCATACTTGTTGCCTATACTCTTCATTCGTAATGAATATAATTCAGCCAATTCAGTCTTTTCAGACAATAATGATAAATCTACATTTTATTAACTGTATGTTTTGTTTTTTATGCTTGTTGATGTTATTGTATACCAAGATTTAGATTATGTTATATATGAATATATGTTACACTTGTCTGTTTGTTACATGAAATTCTGAATAAATGCATCTAGTACATATGTAAACATAGTATAAAATCAATTAATGTTTATTATATAGTAAGTTACTTGCTATTGCAGTCGTTTCATAAAAATTGTATTTAAGAAATAATATATCCCAAACAGTGATTTTATCGCTAAATAACACCACTGTTTGGAGTTCGGATGCGAAGAATTATATCACGAGGGCGTAGCCCGAGTGATATAATGATCCGCATCCGAACGACAAACAGTGATGTTATCAAGCGATAAAATCACTGATTTTGGATATATTATTTCGATTCTAACACGACATTAACAAATAAATGTTGCAGTACTTAATAGTTAAGCAAAATTGCGCCTGATTTGTTTCCGAACTTATTTCGCGTCGGATTTTTAGTGGTTACGGCACGTGTGTAATGACTACGTCACATGTCTAAATATAGAACGTCAAACTGTGCATCTGTTGCATAATAACACACACTTTCTGTTCTTCTATGTTCAATAGGGAAACAATGCGGGTCGTGTTAGAATATTTCATTTTATATAAAGAAAATACATTTTAAACAGTTGTACTAGCTTGATTTAAAGGCCAATTAAGCTTTAAAAACGCAATCTCTTTTATTTTTCAAAAGTTTTAATTTTGTATGTCCAAATGGTTAGTCAATGTCCATATATCAGATTCATCTTGGCAACTGGTACAGTTATGGTGAAAATAACCATTTTGTTTATATTTTGCTACACTTATCATATTTTCTTTTCAAACTCCATTTTTTCGTCAGTTGTCAGGTGATAAGAAAATCACATGTTGGAAATCTATTACTACAACATTATAAAACACATATTTGCCCTTTTTACAAAAATAAAAATATAGTCATTTCTGAGGCTTTATATGCCTTTAAACTTTCAATGTATATGTAGAGTCAATTTATATAGTATATAAGTAAACATATAATTACATTGGAGATGATATTGATTGTTTACTAGGTATATGAATGTTTATCTTTATTTTATGCTTATATATGTTAGGTCTTTTGAAAATATGCATCAAACATGTTTGTTTTTGATTTGGAATATAGGTTATATCAGTCATGTACATTTGTAATCCTTTTATGTACATGTACATGATGACAAGACTTTATTGTCCATATTTATGCTTAAACAATTCTATATGAAGTTAAGATAAGTTAAATGTGGAATATGCTATGTCAATTTTACATATACATTTAAAATGTATAATTATCTTGAAATGTACATTGAAAGTATCTAGATAAGTAGACATTATTCTGTTTGTATGAATATAAACTTGTCTGATAGGACTTATCAATTTTGAAACTTGCACAATTCTATTCTCTTTATTTATTAGAACTTTGCTTGTTTATGAGAATAAGTTGGTTTTAATAAAGAATATGAAGTTAATAAATGATAAAAAAAAATCGTTTTTTTGTCATAAGCAATGTGATGGAAACAAGAAAATTTAACAGTTCTATCGGTATTATATCAATTATAACGTTGTTAAAGTGTTTTTTGATTTTGTATTTCTGTTTATTGATCATGATAAAGCTATGGCGAACTATATGGGATTTAAATTATAGCAATACACACTTTTGTAAGCCATTGATTGACTAAGATTTTGTTCTTGTGTCATGCCCAACATTTTTCTTTTTAACTTGTAGACTTTTAAATTTCCTCCCTGTATTTAGAACAAATAGACACAACAAGAAAATAACATTCTAATGTTTAATATGCGCAAAAATGGTGTGGACGTAAATTGTTATTGATTAAGGACTATCTGAACGAAATTTTTCAAATGGTGGCATATAGTATTATATCAGTAAAGAGAAATGTTAACAATATATAACCTTTAAATCTTTTCACAAAAAAATTTAAAGAGATAATTATTTTTCTACTTGTTATGTTATTGATGTAATAGAATGTTACTTTTATATTAGTAAAATGTATTTGTTTGCTTGTTTTGATAGCATGAGTGTGTGACTGTTCATAATAAAAAAATGTACAGAATTGATCTGTTAATTATATATTTGTTTTCCCCACTCTTACAGAACTAAATTAGGGCATAAAACCTGTTGAAACTTTACTTCCAAATATTATCTCATTAATAAAGACAAAGCTGTTAGTACATTGATAGCGTCAAGCATATGTACAATATATGCACAGTACTAAGAATGAGGCCCTGTCTCGTAAAATAACGTGTGGGACAAAACACAATCATTAGGAATGGAACTGCAATTGGAACAATTTCCACATTACATAGCATCACCAAGTCTGCATAATGCATAGATATTACCGCCTCCGTGGTGGATGGGTAAGAGTCGATGACTCGTAATCCACTTTCCTCTCTGGCATGGGTTCGATGCCCGGGAGATGCTGTGGTTGTTTAGCGCGGAGGAAGGTAGTCTAGTACTGTTGTCACACTCCAGGAACGATAGTTAGGAAATTACCCGCCTATATGACTGAAATACTGTTGGGAAAAGGCGTAAATGGAAACAAACAAATATGATATATTCAAAGTGTTTAGAGTTTACCAATACTATTTGAAGTTATATATGACGATATACAAATTCTTTCAATTTGTAAATATTATACAAATATGGACTTTATAGCTGGTGAATATGATGTGATATGTACTGTAAAAATTAATATTGACTGAGGCGATAGCCGAGGTCAATATTAATTTTTCAGTACATATCACATCATATTCACCAGCTAAAAAGTACATATCTGTTTTATTATATAATTTATAAATAGCTTTTATATGGCTTATTAAATCTGCCATTGCCTACAACGGAAATCAACATTTTTCAGCTTGTCTAATTTTTCCATAAATTGGCCTTATCTTTTAAATGAGCGCATTTGCAAGCTTTTTATCATAGTGTTCTTTAAAATGTGAAGAAGGTAACTAAAATAGACTAATTTGACTCTTATTTAAAAGTCATCACACATTTTTTCCAGAATGATATATACATGCACATGTAACAACAAACTGACGTGACGTCACGTCATAGTCTCGCGTCTTTCGGGGAATTTCCATAAAATCTATTTTTAGAAGAAAAACTGGTGAATATACTCTGAAAATCTATTTTTAGGGAAAAAAACAGTGAATATACTCTGATATTGACCTGTTATTTTTTACAAAAACTTGCTTGTTAGCCAATCAGGGAAAGGCATTTCAAAGCTATTTATAGATTATATAATAAAAGTTGTAACCGCACGGGATATGATTCCAGTTTCTGCCTAATTTTATATGAAATAAAGCTGTATTTTGTTCT